TTTTTTTTTTTTTTCTTTTTTTTTTTTTTTTTTTTTTTTTTTGAGATGAAGTTTCTTTATGTAGCCCTGGCTGGCTTGGAACTAGCTATGTAGAACCGACTGGCCTTGAACTCATAGAGATTTGCCTGCCTTTGCTCCCAAATTCTGGGATTAATCTCTCCAATTAAATTCAATCTCTCCAAACTTTATTTTGGTAGTTTTGAAAGGGTTGAGGCTCAGTGGCTAAGAGCACTGGCTGCTCTTCCAGAGGACCCCTGTTTGAGTCCCAGCACCGACATGGCAGCTCATAACTTAATTCCAGGTCCAAGGGACCTAACTTCTTCTGGCCTCTGTGGGCACTGCACATGATGTAGACTTATATGCAGACAAAATATCCATTCATCTAAAAATATTTTTTTTTTCGAGACCGGGTTTCTCTGTGTAGCTTTGAAGCCTGTCCTAGAACTAGCTTTGTAGACCAAGCTGGCCTCGAACTCACAGAGATCTGCCTGCCTCTGCCTCCCGAGTGCTGGGATTAAAGGCGTGTACCACCACCACCAGGCCTAAAAATAAATTTTTGAAAAAGAGAAAAAATAATTTTTTACAGTTTTAATGAGATGGGGATGGGGAGAATGAAACTTTTTATTCTCCCTCTCACATATCACTCTGTGTAGTTTAAGCCAGAAGAAAATGGCATTTTGTTTCTGAAGATTAAGTATGTGATATTTGGGCTGGAGAGATGACTCAGGATAAGAATGCTGACTGTTCTTCCAGAGGTCCTGGGTTCAGTTCCCAGCATCCACACGTTGGCTCACAACCATCTATAATGAAATCTGGTGCCCCCTTCTGGCATGCAAGCACACATGCATGGAAAACACTGTTTACATAATAAATAGATCTTAAAAAAAAAAAGCAAAATATAAGTACATGATATTCTCTCTGGGTTCTAAATTAAACACTCTGTAGACAATTTCCCGCTATTCTTCTTTTTCTTTTTTTTTTAAGATTTATTTATTTACTATGTATACAGTGTTCTGCCTGAACACCAGAAGAGGGCACCAGATCTCATTATAGACAGTTTCGAGCCACCATGTGGTTGCTGAGAATTGAACTCAGGACCTCTAGAAGAGCAGTCGCTGCTCTTAACCTCTGAGCCATCTCGCCAGCCCTTATTCCCTCTATTCTTTCCAAACTAACATCACAGTAGTACACGGCTATTACTAAGAAAACATATATTTCTTTTTTTTTTTTCCTTCCCTTTTTAAAAAGTGATGCCACAGAGCTGGAGAGAAGGCTCAGCCATTGAGAACACTGGCTGTGCTGGGTGGTGATGACACATGGCTTTAATCCCAGCATTGGGGAAGCAGAGACAGGTGCATCTCTGTGAGTTCAAAGCCAGCCTAGTCTACAGAGCGAGTTCCAGGACAAGCTCCAAAGCTACAGAGAAACCCAGTCTCAAAAAAACAAACAAACAAAAAAGAACACAGGTCGCTCTTGCAGAGGACCTGGGTTGGGTTTCCAGCACCCAGATGGCAGCTCACAACCATCTGTCACTCCATTTCAGGGGAACCTGACACCTTCTACACCAGGCAACAAGTGAAAATAGACATATATGCAGGCAAAACACCCATACACATAAAAATAAAATTTAAAAAATCAAGTGATGTCACAGTGTACCTGAGATCCTTAATTCTGTTTCTAGGAACAAACATATCAGCTGAACAGAGCAAAGTGGGGGAGTCTTTGGTGTAGGAAGCCCCATTATCTGCCCTTGTAAACCCTTCTAGTGCACATCCCATAGCCAGTACCAAAAGGATGCCAATTGGGCTGGAGAGATGGCTCAGAGGTTAAGAGCACTGACTGCTCTTCCAGAGGTCCTGAGTTCAATTCCCAGCAACCACATGGTGGCCAACCATTCGTTATAAGATCTGGTGCCCTCTTCTGGTGTGCAGATATACATGGAAACAGAATATTATATACATAATAAATAAAATCTTAAAAAAAAAAGATTCCATTTGTCTTTGTCAGTTCTCACTACTGGAGTTTCTTTGTCAAAATTCTCTGTGTAGCCCTGGCTGTCCTGGAACTCATTGTGTAGACCAGGCTGTCCTTGACCTCACAGAGATTCTCCAGCCCCTGTCTCCTGAGTGCTGGGATTAAAGGAATGCACCACCACCACCCGGCCTATATTTTAATCTTTAAAAAATTAATTCAAAAAGGATTTCTTGTTTGTCTGTTTCCTGTGCATATTTGTATGTGTGGGTACTTGTAGATGTCAGGGAACAACCTGCAGGAGTCAGCTCTCACTTTCCACTTGTGGGTCCTGGATGCTAAACTCAGGTCACCAATCTTGGTGGCAGGCACCTGTAGCAATCGAGCTTTCTCGTTGGGACAGCAAGCACAAAAATACTGACATGGAGACTTATTAATTGTGAAAGCTTGGCCTTTAGCTAGGCTTGTCTCAACTAGCTCTTATAACTTAAATTAACCTATTTATATTAATTTATGCTCTGCCACGTGGCGTTGCCTCTCTTCCATCTGCACCTTCTGTTTCTTATTCCATGTCTGGCTGGTGACCCCATCTTCTTCTCAGAGTTCTCTCTCTGTCCAGAAGTCCCACCTATACTTTCTGCCTAGCTATTGGATATTCAGCTTGTTATTACACCAATCACAGCAATACACCTTCATGCAGGGTACAAACATCCCACAACGGCACCCCTGCCCATGGCCTGATCCCATTTATTATTGGTGATGATTGGTCACTGATTACAGCCTATTTCTTCTGTTGGAGTTATTACTCAGTGCTTCTACCAGTTGGGGCCTGGTTGCTCACGTTTGTAATCCTAGGTACTCAGGAGGCTAAGGCAGGGAGACTGTTAAATCCAAGGCCCACCTAACCTCAGAGTAAGTTCAAGGCTAGCCTGGACAACTCAGTGAGACTGTCTCAAAATATAAAGTATATCTCGGAGCATATACCTCATCAGTAGAATGCTGAGTTTTAATCCCAACTATCACACACACACACACACACACACACACACACACACACACACACCATGAAAATAATTAAATTAGTAAATAAAAAGACAAGTGACAGGCAAACCTAGCAAAAACTCCCCCTGTCACACAAGTTTTCAGAGCTACTTAAAGAGGTAGAAACACACAGGCATCTCTGGCCTAGAGAAGACACCAAAGTTGCTAGAATGCTCTTAAGAAATGTACATGGGGGGAGGAGAGAGAGAGAGAGAGAGAGAGAGAGAGAGAGAGAGAGAGAGAGAGAGTGCAGAAGTTAAGAGCATTTACTGCTCTCAGAGAAGACCCAGGTTTGAGTCCCAGTACCACATGGAAGCTCACAGCCATCTATAACTGCAGCCCCAGGGATCCATGCCTTCTAACCTCTGTGGGGTCCAGCATGTGCATGGTGCATATACATACTTACACTCCAGCACATTCTCATACACAAGAAAGAAGAGACAGAACAAAGAAAGAAAAAAGAAGAAAGAGAAGGAAGAAAGGAAGAAATAAAGAAAGGGAAGAAAGAAAGAAGGAAAGAAAGAAGGAAGGAAGGGAAGGAAGGAATAAAGAAAGAAAGAAGAAAGAAAGAAAGAAAGCGGAAAGAAAGAAAGAGGAAAGAAGGGAAGGAAGGAACAAAGGAACGAAGGAAAGAAGAAAAGAAATAGATGGCAACATAGACCCTAAAAGAAACTGGATTCCAGGCCAGAAAAAAAATAATTTTAATGTGAATAGAATGGACCAGTCTACCTCATTACTTCCTTGGCTCTTGCTCTATTGACTCCTTATTCCTTGGTTTTTGAGGAGGAGGAAGGAGCAGACCAAATGTCTAGAGTGGCTTCCACGTGGGACAGGGTCTCTGATGTGGTAAGCTGCTTCTGGATCTAGAGGAATTCGATACCCTTTAGAGCTGGGAGCATCATGAAACAAAATAATTTATATGCGGTCTGTTGCCTTCAACAATCTCATCTCCTCTCTTCTTCCTCATGGTCCCTGGGCAGCTGCATCATACTTGAATCCATGGCAACTCAAGGCCACTTTTAAAGAATCTGAAAAACATACATGATGAGGAATGGTGAACTTGGGAGGGACAAGGATCATGGTGTTATCCTCTCTGGTTAAGGAGCCAACACCTGAAAATAGTGTTGAGGGTAGGAGGGGAGGTTGGTAAATTTGGGGAAGGAAGGAAAATTTAAGAACCTTTTTTTTTTTTTTTTTTTGGTTTTTCTTAAACAGGGTTTTTTTTTGTGGTTTTGCCCCCTCTCCCGCCCCCCCCCCCGGGGCCCCGGCTCCTCTGCCTCCCGAGTGCTGGGATTAAAGGCGTGTGCCACCAACGCCCGGCTAAGAGCCATTTTTTAAAAAAGATTTACTTATTATGTATAATAAGTATGCCTACATGCCAAAAGAGGGCACCAAACCTCATTATAAATGGTTGTGAGCCACCATGTGGTTGCTGGGAATTGAACTCAGCACCTCTGGAAGAGCAGCCAGTGCTCTTAACCTCTGAGCCATCTCTTCAGCCCCCAGGAGGGAAATTTTAAAACATACCTTTTCTGCTGAGGGGCAGCCTTTGCTATTGTTCATGTTGATATTCTTCATGGAGATGAGGGTGATGCTGTCTTTCTCCCCATTGGCCGTGGAACAGCTGAGATGGGAAGGAGTCCAGTTTACAGAGAGGAGGGGAGGAGCAAGGGGAGTAATGGGAACTTGGGGGCATTGTACCTTCAGTCTTCATTTCAGAAAACTGTATTTAGGGATGGATTGTGATAAAATGAGAATGTATTCTGAAATCCAGGAGACTTGTATTTAAAGCTTGTTTGTTTTGTTCTTTTTCAAGCTGGGTTGGTGGTATACAACTATAAATCCAGCACTTAGCAGGTAAGAGGTCGGAAGACGAGGAGCTCAGTGCCACTAACAGACACACAGTGAGTTCAAAGCCAACCTGTGCCCTATGAGACTCTCTCTTCAAAACCAGACAGTCTTTACTGTCTATTAGTTGTTTGATCTTGACAAAGTTACAACCTGTCTTATGCTTCAGAGTTTTGTGTTTGTTTGCTTGCTTTATTTTGGCAGTATTTGGCAGTCTGTGTTTTAGGTTGGTCTCATATGGCGCAGGCTGGCCACAAACTACATCTGTAGTCAAGATGACCCTGAATTTCTGATCTCCCTGCCTCCTACTTCTCAAAGTGCTGGAATTACAGCTGTGTCCCATCAGGTCTGGATCATGTAGTAACTGAACTTGAACCCAGGGCTTTGTGTATACTAGACAAGCACTCTACAAACCGAGCCACATCTCCAGCCCCAATTTTTAAAAATGATTAAATTTTAAAAAATTGAAAACTTGTGTGTTGGGGAGGGTGTACCCAGGAGTGTGGGTGTCCTCGTAGAACAAATGCATTGGATTCCCTGGAGCTAGAGTTACAGATGGCTGTGAGCTGCCCAATGTGGGTGCTGGGAACCCAAACTAGAAACTTGGGAAGAGAAGTACATATTTTTTTTTAAGATTTTATTTATTTATTATGTATGCAACATTCTGCTTCCATGTATATCTGCACACCAGAAGAGGGCACCAGATCTCATAACGGATGGTTGTGAGCCACCATGTGGTTGCTGGGAATTGAACTCAGGACCTCTGGAAGAGCAGTCAGTGCTCCTAACCTCTGAGCCATCTCTCCAGCCTGAGAAGTACATATTCTTAACTGCTGAACTGTCTCTCCAGCTTTGCCAACTTTTTTATGTACAAAAGAAAGTCAACAGCTGGAGAAATAAATCAGTGGTTAAGAGCAATAGCTGCTCTTCCAGAGGATCTGGGGTTCAATTCCCAGAACCCAGAGGGCACCTTCCAAGTGTCTTTACTTCAGTTCTACAGGACCTGACACCCTCACACCAATGCACATAAAATAAAATTAAATAAATGATTAAAAATAACAATAAAATAAAGTCAAACCTCCCTTTAAAAATTGCTATAAAAGCCAGGCACATCTTTAATCCCAGTACTCCAAAGACAGGGACAGGTGGATCTCTGAATTTAAGGCCAGTCTCGTCTACATAGTGAGTTCCCAGACAGCTAGAGCTACATAGTGAGACCCTGTCTCGAAAACAAACAAACAAACAAACAAACAAATAAACAAAAAGAATTACTAAAAAGATTTTATGTCATTGTTTATGGTGCATAGTAGGTTTGTTTTTGTTTTGTTTTCCCAAAACAGGGTTTCTCTATGTAGCCCTGGCTGTCCTAGAACTCACTCTGTAGACCAGGCTAGCCATGAACTCAGAGATCTGCCTGCCTTTGCCTGCCAAATGCTGGGATTAAAGGTGTGTACCCTCACACCTGGCTTCAGAGTAGGTTTTCTAAGTTTCCTGAGCTTAGAGAGGATGTATCTATCTTACATCGGAATCTGCATTCCTGCGCTTTTCATGAGGAGACAACAGAAGCTGAGCCCTGCTGCTGAAGAACTTCCCTTATCTCTGCTCACCTGAGCCTGCCGGCCTGGCCCAACTTCAGCAAAGACTGTAGGATTGTGGGGCATATATCTGCAAGTGGTGTGAATGGGTAGGAAATGTGGCAGGGAAGGGGAGTGTGTGAGTGTGTGTGTGTGTTTGTGTGTGTGTGTGTGTGCGCGCGCGCGCGCGCTCGCTGAAAGCTGAGAGTGTGTTTTCTTCTTGGAGTAGGAGTTCAGATTAGATAGAAGATTGCTCTCATAAGCGTCTAAAATCTTACCTTTCGGATAGCCCTGAACTCCCTGGTTTCTGTGGATCTGTAAAATCCCAAGGGCACGGATTAGTGTTATACGCTATAACTGAGATGCCCAGCCTTCCCCTGGAAGCCCACCTTCCCATCTCATCAAGTGCTGCTGCTTCTGTGCCATTCCTGCCCTCAGCCCAGCTGGCATCAGCCAAAGCCCCTTGCTCGGCTCCCTCAGCACAGGGGTCAAGGGAGCCCAGCAGGCCAAGACAGTTACCTTCAGACTCCTTGTTCTTCCAATGCTTAAACATTAGACTGACCACACTGAGTAGGAGGATCCCCACACCCCCCAGGATGACAATGAAGCTGATAACACCTGAGCAAGGAGGAGACAGGGAGCAGGAAGAAAGAGATGGGGCAATGAGTCTAGAACTCCCTTCCCTGGTAAGTATAGTGTGTGTGTGTGTGTGTGTGTATGTGTGTGTGTGTGTGTGTGTGTGTGTGTGTGTGTGTGTATTCACTCAGAGTGAAGTGAATTCTGCTTCTCTGGGAAAAGTGAGTAGTATATTAGCTGGTACCCCTGGCCATGGTGAACTACTTAATCTAGCACCATCACCGTAAAAACATATAGCCCAAGAGGGCCAAGAAGAGATGGCCAGAAGACCAGTGAAGACTTCTTTCCATGAGGGCCTTGCTCACCAGCAAGTCCATCCCAGAATGATCGGATTTGATTTGAACTTGTGTTCCTACCCAGAGTCTATGCCAGTCCTCAGGTAGAGCCCCCTCTCATGCCCCATCCTCCCTGCCATCTCTCACCAAAGGCAACCACAGTTAGTGCTGACGCTGATGTGGGTGTGGGGCTGGGCACATCTTCCCTTGTCGGCAGGCTTGTGGTTACTGAACTGGGAGTAGCATTCAGAGACGCTTCTGAAATAGAGTCGGTGTTGGTGCATCAGTGAAGGGGACTGGCAGGAACTGGCAAAGAGAGTCAGCTTCTCTCCTGATCCCCAAGGTGGGAACCTGCAGAAGCCCATAGGAAAGGACTTCCTCCCTGCCACTGGCTACCTAGAACCCCTGAAGACAGAGGGTGGACATCTCACATCTCGACAGGAATACCTCTACTGGTTGTTTATAATACTGGTTTCAGAGGACTCCAGAAGGTTCAAGATGCTTCCCATCACCACTTGGTGCCCAGAGGAAAGGATTTATGCTGCAGAAATAGGGAAACATGCTCAAAGTAGAGCCAACTGTGTTCTGCAAACAGTTGAAGATGGGAGGAAAGAAGGCACTGACCCAAAGAGCCAGGGTGCCAGGGAAAGGGCATAGCTTTCTGGTCCTCTTAAAATGACATTAGGTTGGCCTCAGAGCTCAATGGGTAAAGGTACTTGCTGCCAAGGCTAGTGGCCTGAGTTCAATTCCTAGGACCTACATGATGGAAGGAGAGAACCAGTACCATTTTTCTCTTCCCTTGCACAAGTCACATACTTCAGACCTATTTGCTATCCTATATTCCTATCTCTACTCACCTTCTGAATAAGCCTAAGAGTATAAAATGTCCGAGGATCAAAGAAAGTATTGGAAAGAAAGGGTCACAGACATGTCTAACCACTTCTCTTTGCTGGGAGCACACACTGGACCCACCTCCTCTTGTGCTGTTGACAGCACCACGGCTGCCGCTGCTGCTCCTGCTGCTGCTGCTGCTGTCTGGCATCCCTGTGCCTACACCTGAAGCAAATGGCTAAGATGGGGGACTCCCATCCCTCCCAGCATACCCTGAGAAGTGTCTAGTCCTTTTTCAACCCTGTATTTGGGAGTCCCCTTCTCATTTCCCTCTCCTGTCCATTCTTTTCTCAGTCCCAAATTCAGGATTGTAATCAAGGTTTTGATTACAAGCAGGCCCTACTTCCTGTTTCTACTTCTCTCCAATGTTTTCTTACAGTTTCCCAAACCAGGGCACCACTTGTGTAGCTTCTACATTTAAGAACCCCCACTACAGCACTTAGGCCACTTGGCTAAAGGAAGAAGGAACCCATCCACACATATCTAGTGTCCATCACCTCCTGCCTGCCCACCTGCCCTGGGTACTCACCAAGTCCCAATGTGTGATTCTGTGATGTCAGGCCAGGCAAGGAAAGGAAGTGATTATCCAAGGTGCTTGGCCCGGGTGTTATAGGCCTGGATACCAAGGAGCCCTGTGAGGCCTTCTGTATAATTTCTGTGGATTGGGAAGCACACATGACCTGCTCAAAGCAATGCCAGAATATGCACAGGGAGGGTTCCTTGGTCCAAAACGTCTTCCCTTCTCTCTGTTTCTTTACTTGTGTGTATGTTAATGGCAATTAAATCTAGGACTTTCTTTATACAAGGCAAGCGCTGTCCCCCTGAGCTCCGCCCCAACTCTCCTTCCCATCACTGCTTTCAGTTCCTGAAGGAGCCATTCTCTGGCTCACCTCTGAGCCTTGGTTTTTGCAGTTTGCTCTTCTTGGAACACTTCTTTCCCACCTTCCCAGAGCCTCTACTTGTTCATCTCACTCCTTCCAGGCTCAGTTCTTGAGGTCACTGCATGTGGGAAGCGCCCCCCCCCTCCAAGCTGATGTCTGAAGTGTGTGACATTTGTGTGGGTCCTGTGACACCTGTTCCTTCTGCCCTGCTTTGGAATCACCCTGTTTGCCTGTCCCTTCAGCCATAAGTCTACATTCTCCCGCAGAGCTGACACTGCCCAGTTCCTCCTGGACCCTCCCTGGGCACCAGTCTTGGCCCCTGAGTACCTGGGGTAGGGGTTCTAAGGAGAAGCCTTGAGCTGCCAGGCCCTGAGGAAGATTTGTCTCCTGAAAGAACAGCAGCAGATGGTGAGGAGTGGGGCAGGTCTGGTGATGTCATGCCCATCTGAGAACCCCCAAGCTCCAAGTAGGTCTGAAAGGCTGGGGGTGGCATGGGAGGGTAGAGGTGGGCTTCTCAGCAGCCACATTCATTCACTCACCTGAGCTGAGAGAGACTGGCTGGGAGCTCAGACTCCTGAAGAGGCCTGAAACACATCATCTGAGGGTCTGTGCCCTTCTCTTCTTCTCTGAAGCTAGGTTTCTGTTTTGTTTTTGTCTCTTTTCCTCCCCTCCTCTGCCTCTGACTATTCATCTCTTCCCTCTTCAAGCCATGTTAGACCAGACTAGTTGAATGACCCCAGGGACCTCTGGCCAGAGCTCCCATCACTTGCATTCAGGCAAAAACAGACACCAAGCCAGGTGGTCATGGCCCATGCCTTTAATCTCAGCACTTAGGGTGGGGGTGGGGGGTGTCTCTGAGTTCGAGGCCAGCCTGGTCTACAGAGAGAATTTCAGTACAGCCAGGGCTATACAGAGAGACCCTGTCTTGAAAAACCAAAAAGAAAAGAAAAAAAAAGAAAAAAATGGAGCCTGGAGCTATAATACCTTTCTAAGCTCCTAAGCACAAATGCTGGAGTAGGCCCCATGAATCTTACCATGAGAGGTCTGAGTTGTCGTAGGCTGAGAGCTGTAGCCTGTGAGAGAAAGCAAAAATGCTTTGACTGTGACTGGGCATGGTGCCTTTGTTCCCAGCACTCAGGAAGCAGAGGCAGGTGGATCTCTGTGAGTTTGCGACCAGCCTGGTCTACATAGTGAGTTCCAAGACAGCCAGGGCTACATAAAAAGACCCTGTTTCAAAAAACCAAACCAAATATATAGATAGACTACCTTGGTAATTCTGGCAAGCCAAACTCATGAGGGAAACTAGGTCTTTGGCTGCTGGAAGGCAAGCACCCTTGGCTTAAAGGATTAGGGTTCACCACAGCTCCTCAGAGGTCAGAGGCCTAGAGTCTTTCACTGTGTCTTCACTTCTCTCCAGGTATCCACCAACCTGACCCAAAGCTAGGGATGGCTGTGTGA